GATTTGTACAAAGTAGTGTTATTAAGCATATTAAGTGATAATCTGAGAAGGTTTACAATACAATGAAGTAGGGTGAGTTACAGAAAGATGAGTAGAGCAGAGTCACAGTCTAATGTTTGTAACTATTCATCCAGACCCTTTCGTGTCCAATATAAGTTCTGAGTGTGAAAATTCAAGCCCAATTTCATTTGTTCTTTTTCTTGGGTATCTGATTCCATAGCGTATAAAAACGTTTTGATAGCTAACTATTATTTAATGTTTAATTACAGAAAATACTTAGGAGGGATCTTCTAGGTCCAAGAAACCCTGTTAATAAGGTGGGGTGCAAAGATGGGTAAGATACAGTAACACCCTCAGAGCCCACAACGCAGTGATTCCCCCTCAGTCTTTATTCCAATCTGATGACGAAGCTTCTTTACTCCTTCTTCAAAGCACCTAATTTATTTTATCACAGAACATTTCTCAAGTTCTCTGTTGCTCCTAAAGTAGAGTCAGACTGATGGTCTGTGCATGCCTTTACCCAGCATCTGTATTGAGTGCCTCCTGTGTGCCCGGCTGTGGGCACGGTCCTCTCCTTCGGGATACGGTGTTGATGAGCAGTGCATCTGCTCCCCGCATCCCTGTCTGAAGCATCCCTTTCCTGCCCGTGGGCTTCACTGTTCACTGTTATGCTTGGATGTGTTTTGTTGTCTTGCATGCTTTGTTCTTAAGTCCCTACGATGATTGTGATTCACTCTGCAAATTTCTCATCACTTTCCCAACATAGAACCACTCTGACTTCTGCTCTAGGTGTCCTTATGTTTTGTTGTCTTTGGACATCCCGTGTGTGCCATTTTGCCATCTGGGTGACGGCAGCCTGTAGATGCTAACGCAGAGCCAGGGTGAGTTCTCACAGACCTTCACCGAGTTACTGGTGGAGTAAGTAATGCATGAGTACACTTTCTCTGCCAGCCTTAGCTGAGCGTTAGAAATGGAAAATGGCATAGTAGAGATTGTGCCAGAAGTATGGATACAAAGATTAGCAAAACACGCTCCCTACCCTCAAGAAACACACGTAGTGGGAGACAGACATGAAAAGTTCCAACACCACGTATCATTAGGGCTCTGTCAGAACTGGGCCCAGGGTGCTGTGGGAGACCAGAGGAGAGTGTGCCAAGCCCCCCTTGGCTTCACAAAGTAAGAGCTCCTTATGCCATTAATAACTCATTTTAGCTAACCTCCCAAAATGGAAAATACCTTAGTGTGAAAGGTTATCAATTAATGTTAAAATTCTTCCAGTGTTTTCACCTGCCCTGTGTTTAGGTAACATAAAGCAGTAATAGAATTCCCTTTCTTCCTTTCTTTTCTTTTTGATTTCTTTTTTTTTTTTTTTTTGAGGAAGATTAGCCCTGAGCTAACATCTGTTGCCAATCCTTCTCTTTTTGCTGAGGAAGATTGGCCCTGGGCTAACATCCATGCCTGTCTTCCTCTACTTTATATGTGGGACGCTGCCACAGCGTGGCTTGGTAAGCGGTGCATTGGTCCACACCTGGGGGCTGAACCTGTGAACCCCGGGCCACCAAAGCGGAGTGCGCAAACTTAACCACTATGCCACCAGCCGGCCTTGATTTCTGTTTTTTTCAATGTTTTGTAGTTTTCGTATACTCTGCTTCATGGTTCTCAAAGGAATATTTTGACTGACAAATGGTCAATTACTATGACCTAAAGATAGAATTTCGGCATTTTCCATTTGAGTCTCTGATATACAGGATGCAGTGCTAACATTTCAATTGGATGGGAAAGAAACAAATGCGTTTAGAGTCCCAGTGGACCTCAGGTGAAGGAGGAATGCCAGAATTACACAGAGCATCACGTCTTCGCAAGGACCAGGTCCGAGCTTTGCCTTTTCTCAACTCTCCATTCCTCTCCTTCATCTCGCAGCTTGTGTGAAACTCTCTGTGCCAGGAAACTGAGGACCTATTTCAGTTCCGTTTGCGTTTGCTCATCATTTCTTCAGTCGTTTTGTCTTGCCTCCTCAGCCAGGTTGGGAGCTGCTGAGAAAAGACATCGTTTGTTGTACCACTTTGTGGCTCCAGAGCGCTTGTGGCCTAGGACACAGTGACTGGCCCCGGTTTGCTCTTCTCGGTGAAGCAGGCTGTGGCAGTGTTATGTGGATGTTCAAGGTGGGGACTTCCCGTGGTATTTCTGCTCCCTGAGCTGAAGCCACAGCAATGGGGGAGAGCCCGGGTGCCAGAGGATGCCGGGAGCCGAGGGCAGGTGGGTCGGGTGTGTGCCCATGCAATCTCAGCCCTCTGCCTGGGGACATGTTCAAAGGGAGCCGTTCCTTATCTGCTCTATCTGGAAGCCAGAAAGGGCCGGTGTGTCCAGTGATCTGTGGAAAAGCCAGTCTGCTGGTCAGAGTTCGGGTGTTGCCTCACCCTGCGGAGGGATTTTAGCTCTTCATGAATAGGAAGACCGATGTTTCTCTCAAGAAATCTCAGGTATTCTTTAAAAGCAACTGAAAAGTAAAATGATAAGATCTCAAAACATTCTAACCCCCTGAATGTAACGACAAGGAAACCAACATCGTTATGTCAAGGATCAGTTCCTCCTGTTCTGCGGCTCCTGGCTGGAAGATGGGATATCTGCAGGAAGAAAAGGCTGCTGTCTGCGTGCATTTTCCATTGCAGTGCTGAGAATGCGATGGGGCAGGGGAGGAAGTGGTCACAGTCCCAGTGGTAACATGGCCTCTGCCCAGTTACCTGATGTTTATTAGGCTGAACTTTATGGTTAACGCAGTAAGTGAGTGACTGCAGTTTTAAACCTTTTGTTCATAATTTTAAAATATTCAAATATTTTAAGCAATGCTTACCCCATTATCTTGCTTGCCATTTGAGGAAATCTTTCTTCAGATATAATGCAGAATAAAATATGATAGAAAAATGCACAGATTCACAGCCTGATTTACACTGATAGATTACAGAGGAAGAAAGTCTTCAAATCCTCTGAAAGATTAATGATTCTCTTTTATTTTTCCTTGTGTGTTATTGTCAACTACGGTAATTTATAGTCAGAATGCCAAGCATGAGATGTGCATCTCACAAAACTATGTGGATTGTACCCATTTTTCATTTCTAAAGGGAACCAAAACATCCCTTCATCTTTGCATTTGTTACTGTTTACTTTAAGCAAAGCTGAAGTGTGAACATGTTTTTACACAAGCACATTCCGTGGATTTGCTCTGGAATAGTGTTCTCACTCCACCAGAAGAGCCCAGCGTTCTGTGGTCGTGATGGGAGGGTAACTTGCGGTGAGCGCTGGCTGTTGGCGGCACACACCCTCTCTGGTCCTCTCTATGATGTGAGCCTTGGCTTCACTGTGACCATTTCAGATGGAAACAGTTCCAGAAGCTAAATGTCACCTCGTCGGCTTCATTGGGCGATGAGTGACTCTTCGGGCTCAGAGGGGTGGACCTGGAGCGGAGCATCAGGAAGGCAGAGATGGGAGGGCAGCTCAGGCAGGACCTGGGCGAAGGCGCAGAAAGGAAGCTGTGTGGGGAAGGGTGGACGAGGGGATAGCCCGGTGCTCCTGACTGCCATGGGCACAGGGGGACGGGGAGAGGGCGAGATCAGTGGGAGACACGTCCTGAGGGCCCTAACCTTGTGCTGAGGAGCCTGGGCTCTAGTCTGGAGGTCACAGGAAGTGGTTTCAGATGTGTGAGCAAGAACGGGAAGCCAACCAACATGGGAAGAACCGCTGTTTTGACTTGGTACCTGTGTCAGTTTGCTGGGGCCCCCATGACCAAGTCCCACAGACTGGGAGGCTTAAACAGCAGGAATTGATTTCCTCACAGTTCTGGAGGCTCAAGTCCGAGATCAGGGTGTCAGCAGTTCTGGTTTCTCCCACAGCCTCTCTCCTTGGCTTGCGGGTGGCCACCTTCTCACTGGGTCCTCACATGGTTGTCCCTCTGTGTGTGTGCATCCTTGGTGTCTCTTTCTCTGGGTCCAGATTTCCTCTTCTTGTAAGGACCCCAGTCAGATTGGATTAGGGCCCTCTCTAAAGACCTCATTTTAGCATCATCTCCTTATGACCTTATCTCCAAATACAGCCACCTTCTGAGGTACTGGGGGTTAGGTCTCCAGCATATGAATTTTGGGTGGACACAGTTCAGCCCGTAACAGACCCACATAGAGAGTGTTCTTTCGTTTGCTAGTTGAAACAGTCTGGCTTTGTCAGGGACTCGCCTATTTAGATTTTTAAAACTCTACAATGTGTTTGTTACTGTACAATCAGTTTTTAGGAATACCTACACGACTTACCCCATGGGTACAAGGGGAACATATAATGTTGCACCATGTGTGTGTGCTGACTGCTTGTCCCTCCTGCTCTCCCCACCCCTCAGCCTGAGTCACATGGTCTGTTCGTTCTTAGGAGGTACCTACTGGCATGCTTCCATCCTGGGGCTTGCACTTGCTGTTCGTTTTGCTGGAACATTCTCCCCCAAGACATCGGCACAGCTCACTGCCTCTATCCTTCAGGTCTCTACTGTCCCTTACTTGGCAAGGCCTTCCTTGGCCTCCTGGTATAAAGCAGTGTCCACTCCCCATCCACTCGTCCTGCATTATTGGATCACTGTCACACGTTCCATAGGTGTCTTTGTTTATTTGCTTACTGCGTCCCCACCAGAAGGGGTGTTCCGGGGAGCAGGAACATTGTGTCTACTGCTGTTTTGTCCGCCTCAGACACAGTGGCTTGAGCTCAGCCCACAGTGTGCCCACGGTGGGAGAAGGAATGATTCTCAGCCTGCTCGGCTCTGGCTCCTTAAACATTCTGTGTTTAGGGATTTTCATTTTCTTAGTGTGCTTATCAAGACTCAAGCCAAGAAAAGATGGTCAACAAGGCTGCTTTTTAGGTCATGGATTCAGATTATGAATTATGGATTCAGATATGTCTTCATCGATAAATGATGTTTGCATTCAAAGACAACCAGTGTTCTCTGCCCATTTCACTGATTGCTTCTCTCTCCTCCCAGTAGATTGGAGCTCAGTGGCGTGCCCAGCGCCATCTCATCACGATGGTGGACACAGAAAGCCCGATTTGTCCTCTCTCCCCACTCGAGGCTGATGATCTGGACAGCCCATTATCTGAAGGATTCCTACAAGAAATGGGAAACATCCAAGAAATTTCTCAATCCTTTGGTGAGGATAGTTCTGGAAGCTTCAGTTTAACAGAATACCACTATTTAGGAAGTGGTCCAGGATCGGATGGATCCGTTATTACAGGTAAGCATGCTGTTTCCTAGAAAGCTTTATTTAGAAGCTTTCTTTCCACAGAGAAATGTTCTTTCCACAGAGAAAATTGTTCTCTGTAGCAGGACAAGAAGTGATGTCTTTCTGCAGTGAAATCTTAGACACGATAAAGCATTCCATCCAGTGCCACTGGGCCTTGAAGGTTTTAAGGTGTATCTTGCTTCTCATAGTATGCCTTCTTTCAAAAGCTGTGCACAAATCAAATAATGCTTGACATTCGGTTAAAGTAGTCGGCTGCATTTAAAAAATGCTGTGAGTTTATATTTCTTAAAAGTAGAGACTCCTATTGTAATGAAAATGACTCTCTTTTCTCTGGAAATGTATATGAACCATCTTCCTCCTTCCTGCATTGCATTAAGAACTACATCAGGTTTCAGGCAAGGTGGATACAAAGAAATAAAGCGTGGGGTCTACTTAGGTGACCTGTGGTATCATAGAAAAAGAAGAAATCATGAAACAGTTCACCCTTCTAAGCACCAGTTAAGCCAACCCAGGATAACGTGGCATAAACTGCACTTCCCTCAATTTGACGGAAGCTCCGTCTGGGGTGGACTTGACTCCACGAGGCTTCTTGGCAGAAGAGGGTCTTGGGTCGGGACTGAAGAAGTTGAATTGGGATTAGCCGGGAGGAGGAGCTGTGGTTGGTAACGAGGTGTGCGTTTGGTTTTCCACTCTGAGTGTGGAATGGGGGACTCGGAATAGAGAGAAGCTTCTCCCTGGCAATGCTTGGTGGAAGGTCTCTGTTCCTTCCCTCCCACAGCGCCCCTTGTGTCGAGTTCATGGCCTGGAGCACGTTTCTGCCAACTGTCTTCTCACTTGCTCCCACTCCACAAAGATCATTTTAGTGACCGTGTGCTGACTAGTGATGGGTGAAGGGAGCGTTTACACTCTGCCGGAAGTGGTGTCCACGATAAATGCTGTGTGGAGAGAGCATTTGAAAGTGCATGTGCTCTGAAATCCTGCAAGCCCACGGGAAACAGATAGTATGCATTGCAGCCATATTCGCGATAGCAGAGATTGGGAAACAAGGAAATGGCTAAATTGTGGGAGGTTCCTACTTTAGGATACTTTATAGTAATTTAAAAGGATGAACTAGCTCTACCTGTGTTAATAGGAATCCATCTAAAAAGCAACATTGAATGAAAATAAACAAGCTTGAGGACATATGCAGTGTGATTCAGTTCTTGTGAAATCTCCAACAGCAGGCAGTGCAGGATGCCCTTGGGGCACGTGGACACGTACTGCAGAGCGTGCTCCAGCTTACCGTCTCGGGCAGCTCCCGAGAGAGAGGGAGGTGGGACTGGGGAGGGGTCCTATGGGGACTTGAACTCTCTCCAGCTTGTACATTTAACAAAGGACATGAAGCAGGGGATAAAACATTACCATTTGTAAATCTGGGTGGTGGGTATTATACTGTGTATTTTTCTATACGTTGGAAATACTTTAAGAAAAATTAAAACAGTGGGAAAGAGCATTCCTGGCAGAAGAAGAAAGCAGCATGTGCCGAGGCTCACATAATCCTCATCAACACTCGGTGAGAAAGATCAGTGTCGTTGTTTTACAAAGATGGGAATAAACTCAGAGAAATTAGGTAACTTGGCCCGGTCACGCAGCTAGAATGAGAGACTGCCGAGACTCGACCCCATGCTTCCCAGCTGGCTCTAAAGCCATGCTCTTTAGCATGAACGTCCCCTTTGGAAGCCAGCAATGTTCTCAGCTCAGTAAATCAGGAATTGCGCCATTCACATGAGACTCTAAGGGGATGATGGGTTAGTGAGCTCGGGGGACCTTCGTGGCCGGGCAGCCTTTGTAGTGACTCCGACAAATCTTTAAAAGTAGTTCAAGTTTTGACTCCCTTTCTCATGACACGTTACAGAGGGGATGAGCTTTGGGGGAAAGGAGCAAGCATGCAGGGTGATGGCAGCTTCCAGAAACAGTGGGGGAAGGGAGCAAGGAAAAGCCTCCGAGGTGTGGGACTGCCTCGAGGAGCCCAGGCAGGTGATCTTGCACTAGTGACAGTAACAGTGACAGCCCAGGCTGCCGAGCGCTGAGTGAGCCACTGCACACACCTTGTCTCACTGAATCCCAAGAGCAACGTTTTGAGTTCATTGTTATGTTTAATGAATGAGGAAAGGAAGCAGGCCCCAAGACATTGGGATGTGCTGGAGATCAAAAGCCAGCTCTTAACCCCTCAGAATGGGTCCTTTACTCACCACATCATAGCCATACCGCGTGCTGGTCAGTTGTTTTCTTATATTGACCATTTGTAGTTCTATTGACTGTTTATCAGAAGATTGTTATTTTTTTCTTTATCTGGATTTTAGAAGACTTATCTATTTTTGTTCATTTGGTTTTTTTTTTTTTGGCTTTTTTTTTTTTTTAAGAAAGGCAGTTTTTTTCCCCTTCTTTGGAAAAAATATAGTCTAATCTATAATGAAAGAATTCAGGGGTGCGCTTTTTTCTTTGGGTCATCCACACCCTAGAGGTTGTTCTGAAATAGAGAATTTGTGTGAATGGGGTGGGTGTGCAATTGTAAAACCTCTGGGGAGTTCTGTCCCAGTAGTGGACGGGAAGAGTGTGGAGACACCCTCCTACCTCCTCCAGGATGAGTCCATGGACCAGCTCCTCTGCCTGGGTTTTCTCTCTCCCAACTCCTCGCCCTCAGACAGGAGGAATCTGAAATTACATTCTTCTAACTTAATTCGAGGTTCCTTTTCTAAAACTAGCATCTTTTAGCCCATTGTCAAGGACTACAATCTACAATATATTTCTAACTCTTCTGAACGTTCTGACACAGATAAGACTTGGAAATTTCATGTAAACCAGGTGGTCTGTGAAGTTCATGGGAGGCCACATATGACCAACTCCACAGGCCACAGGCATGTCCCATCTAAATAAATTAAGGACAAGGGTTTAGGGGGAGAGTGAGTTCCAAACTGGTCTTTAACCAATTCCAGGGAGCTTTATGGCAAAAAGAAAAAAAGGGAACTTACAAAAAGTGACCACATTGAAGTATAGTGGACACACATCCTTGACTTTTGGCCACTGGCCTTTAAGGTGGTGGGTGTGTGATCATCCACTTTTACTTCCCTCCAGCTTCCCCTTGCTATTCTTTTTTTTTTTTTTTTTTTTGGTGAGGAAGATCAGCCCTGAGCTAACATCTGTTTTCAATCCTTCTCTTTTTGCTGAGGAAGATTGGTCCTGGGCTAACAGTCATGCCCATGTTCCTCTATTTTATATGTGGGACACCGCCACAGCATGGCTTGATAAGCAGTGTGTTGGTCTGTGCCCAGGATCCGAACCTGTGAACCCCCAGCCGCTGAAGCAGAGCGCTCAAACTTAACCACTGCGGCACCAGGCCGGCCCCCATCTCACTGCTGCTGTTATTCATCCTTTGGTCGTTTGGAATCATCTCATAATTCTTAAAATCATGCTTTGTTTCCTTCGCAAGTTTTTCAATGTTATTGTTACTAGCTAATTTGAGACATAAGGTTATTTCTTATTTGTAAACTAGATTTTTCATCTTTGTATCTGAGCCTTTGGGTGATAGTTCTAAATTATGTAAATTGTTCATATGGAAAGGCCATATATAAAATGTGTTCACTTTGAACTTTCCTCTAGGAGATCAGATGGCTGAGGCTGCTTGCTCAGCCAATCTATCTTTTTCCCCCTAATTTTTCTTAGGAGCCTTATTGACAGACAATAAACTGCACATATTTAAAGTGTACAATTTGATGTACACACACACACATTTTTGTGTGTGAAACCATCACCACAATCAAAATAGTGACCAGACCCTAAAATTTACTTGTGCCCTTTTGTAATCTCTCTTCTGCCCCCCATGCCTCCTCCCTCCTCAAGTAACAACTGACCTGCTTTCTATCATTATGCATCCGTGTGTATTTCCTAGAATTTTATATAAATGGAATCATATAGTGTGTACTCTTTAGCCTGGCTTCTTTCACTCAGCAAAATTACTCTGAGATTCAGCCGCACTGTAGCACGTATGAGTAGTTCATGTTGTTTTATCCACTGTGTGGCTATGCCACTGTTTGTTTGTGCATATGCACCCATCCGTGTGGCTGGACAGTGGATTTGTTTCCAGGTTCTGGCTGGTACAAAGAGAGCTGCTGTGAGCATTCGTGTCCCAGTCGCTGTGTGGACACGTGCTCTCACTTCTCTGGGTAACGCCCAGGGGTGGAGTGGCTGGGACATGCAGTAGATGTTTGTGTAACTACTTAAGAAACTGCCAAAATCTTTTCCAAAGTGCTGTCCCGTTTTGTGTTCCCACCAGCAATGTGTGCGAGCCCAGTTCCTCCATGCCCTCATTACCATCAGATGACGGCTTTGGAGACTCAGCCGTTCTAGAAGTTGTGCCGTGTCTCGTGGGGGTGGTTTGTTTGCATTTCCCTGAGGCCTAATGATGTGCACCATCTTTTCATATGTTTTTTGGCCGTATACCTTCTTTGGTGGCATTTCTGTTCAGATCTTTTGCCCATGTTTAAATTGAGTTGTTTTTTTACTGTTGACTGTTGCAAGATATTTATAGATTCTGGGTACAAGTATTTTATCAGATATGTGATCTATAAATATTTTCTCCCAGTCTGTGTCTGGTCTTTTCTTTCACTGGTTTTGGTATCAGATTAATCCTGGCCTCATGGAATGAGTTAGGATGTATTTCCTCCTCTTCAGTTTTCTGGAAATACTTCTGTAGAATTGATACTCTTTCTTCCTTAAGTGCATGGTAGATTTCACAGATGAAGCTATGTTCTTTTTTTTTCAGTCTTATTTCTCTCTCTGTTTCATTTTGGGTAGTTTCTTTTGCCGTGTCTTCAGGTTTACTGGTCTTTTCTTCTGCAATGTCTAATCTGGTCCTAATCCCATCCAGTGTATTTTTCATATCAGATATTGTAGTTTCCATCACTAGAATCATGATTTGATTTTTTTTTCACTCCCAGTCTCTACCTAACATGTTTAGTCTTTCATCTAGCTTCCTGAACATTTAGAATACAGTCATAACAACTTTTTAAATGTCTTGTCTACAAATTCTATCATCTGTGTCATTTCCACGTCAGTTTCAGGTCATTGATTTTTCTCTATATCGTGAGTCATGTTTTTCTGCTTTTTTGCGTGTTTTGTAATTTTTTTTATTGGATACCATACATTGAGAGCTTTGTTGGTGATGGATATTTTTGTATTCCCGTAAATATTTTTGAGTTTTGTTCTGGGACGCATTTAAGTTACTTGAAAAATGATCCTCTCAGGTCTTGTTTTTAAGCTTTGTTAGATGGGACCATAGCAGTGTTGATTCTAGAGGTAATTTTGCCCCACTACTGAAGCAAAACCCTTTTGAGTACTTTACCCAATGCCCTATGAATTCTGAGATTTTCTACTCTTTGTGGTGGGAACAGGACATATCCAGCCCCACGTGAGTCCCGGGTATTGTTCCCTCTAATCATTTTATGTTGCTACAGGAGTGTCTTTTCTTTGAGGCTCTTGCAGCTGACAGAGCAAAGACGTATATGTGTATATCCTAACCAGTGTATATACACATAATCTGTAAATATTTCTATATGTAGCCGTCTGTATCTATATTAAGGTAAACATGAGTTCATACTGACGTCCGCAACTCTGATCCATTACCACATGGATCGTTCTAGACTTCTCTTGCTTAACTGTAAGCTCACACTCCAATAGTAAGAAACCTGGCTGCTGCCATCCACCATTCATTTGATTAATTGTTCATTTCTGGAGTACACGTACAGTGGTGCACCAGTGGCCCTCTGGGAAGCAACTTGATCAGCTCACGTCCAGTGCTTACGTGCAGTTCCTTTCGCCCTTAGTCTTACAGACGCCACTCATTTCCAGGGTCACTCAGGGCAGCACCTTCTTCCCACCTCCATCAGTGAGGTTGTTTCATATATTTGTAATACAGTTAGATTGCTTTGTCACATTCTGCATTCCATCCTAGAATCCTAGCTCTCCTAAATTATCTTTGTTTTATTTGTACAGATTAAGATTTACTAGTACTGTAAAGTTCTGTGGGTTTTGACAAATGCATAGTGTCATGTATTCACCACTACGTTTTCATATGAATAGTTTCACCACCTCCAAAAACCCGTGCTTCACCTGTTCAACCCTGCCTCCCCCACCCCCACCCAGCAACTGATCTTGTTACCATTCTGCCTTTCCCAGATATCACGTATTTAGAATCATACAGTAGATAGCCTTTTCAGACTGGCTTTTTGTTTATCCATTCACCTATTAAAGGGCATCTTGGTTGCTTCTAATTTTTAGCAATGAAGAATGAAGCTGCTATAAATATTCTTATAAGTTTGTGTGGACATAGTTTTCAAATCACTTGGGTAAATATCTAGGAGTGTAATTCCTATAAGATTGTTTTGCTTCATAAGAAACTGCCAACAGTCTTCCGAAGTGGCTGTATTATTTCCATTCCCACAGGCAAGACATGAGAGTTCCCGTTGCTCCACATCCTTGCCAGCAAGTGGTGTTGCCAGTTTTTTTGGATTTTAGCCATTATAATAGGTTTGCAGTGCTGCCTCATTACTGTTTTAATTCACAGTTTCCTAAAGCGCAGTGATGTGGAGCATCTTTCCAGATGCTTACTTGCTATCTGTATATCTTCTTCAGTGAGGTGTCTATTCAGATCTTTTGACCATTATTGAGTTGTGTGTTTTACTATTGTTGAGTTTTAAGACTTCTTTGTATATTTTGGTAACAAATCTTTTGTCAGATGTGTTTTGCAAGTATTTTCTCCCAGTCTGTGTCTTGTCTTTTCATTTCCTTAACAGTCTCTTGCAGAGCAGAAGTTTTTAATTTTAAGAAAGTCCAATTTATTTTTTTCTTTCATGGGTTATGCTTCCGACGTTGCACACGTGGATTTTTATACCGTATTCTGGTGCAATTGACAAAAGTTAACAATTGCAAAAGAGCTGGAAGGAAGCAAACAAATTAATGAGTTCTGTGTAGGACATGTCCAGTGTGGAGGGTTTGGGGAGCCCTGGGGGCAGAGGTATCTGTGAGATAGCCAGACGTGTGGGTCCAGAACCCAGGGACACCTCACCAAGAGCTTTGGGGATGCCAGCGCAATGGCACTCGTCTGAGCACAGAGCGGGTGGGACAGCCCAGGATAGGGGCTGACTCGGGATGGGAGCTCTGCCCACTAGCTGATGCCTCCTCACTAGATGCCTCACATGCCACATCACATCCTCATAAAGCTGATTTAGACGTAGGGTGGGGAGGCCTTGACTGTTTGTAAATCCTGCATCTTCTGTTCTTAGATACCCTTTCACCAGCTTCCAGTCCCTCTTCAGTCACTTATCCTGTGGTTCCTGCTGGCGCCGATGAATCTTCCAGTGCAGCACTGAACATCGAATGTAGAATCTGTGGGGACAGAGCCTCAGGCTACCATTACGGAGTTCATGCCTGTGAAGGCTGCAAGGTACCTGGACCCTGGAGGAGGAGCAAGGTGGCTGGTTTCAGGGACTATGTGCGGTTCCTTTTGCTTATACACAAATGTTTGTCATTGCAAAAAAGATCTGCAAAAAATCATAGATAAGGAACTGACCTAAATAATAGATTAATTTCTCTCTTCAGAGAGTCTATGACAGATTGCTGGACTGTACTTTGTAAATAACTTGAAGAAGTGTGTTCTTTAAAAGAAAAGAAACCACCTTAAGAATGACCCTTTTATTTGAATATGGGGTCAAAGAGTTTTGCCCACTTTCTCTCTCCATCCTCGCCAGAAGGTCAGGCAGGGGAGTGGTTCTCCTGGCCATCAGAGATGTCGGGCGTCTTGCTCAGGATCCCACAGCACACGCCAGGTGAGGACCAGACCCTGTGCTGTTTCCTCCCGCAGCTGCTCCTGACTCCCCCAGCAGCCCCTTCCTGCGCGTCAGGGGTCTCTCCACCCAAACCACGAACACCTTTGTGCACAGCCTCATTCTCATGCCGGCTCTACTGGACCTCTCAACATACGTGCCCAGGGCCAGCAGCACAGGAGGTCAGGCGTGGCCTCCAGCATTCTGCCCGCTGGATCACTGGCCCTCCCGTGACTCTCCAGCATGATGAGAAGGACCACAGTATTGTTACCCCGAGGCTCCCCTGAATCATTGCATACTTTTAGAATTATGTATACATTCTCAAGTTTGGCACTTCATGGACATGATACATGCGAGATCCAGTAACCTGAATGTTTGGTTAAAATCAGAAATCTCCTTTCCTTGTGCATGCTGGAACTGTTTAGTAACTTTTGGAAAATGCCACAGCCTTTAATGGCATATCACACAATCTGCCTTCTTGAAACACTGGCATTCTGCCCCGAGTCAGGCCTGGCCTTGGAGGCCTGGTCCCCAGGCAGAGTGGACCGTGTTAGCCGGGACGCCTCTGTATCCTGACATTTAAAATCCTCTCTTCTCACCTTCCTCATCATCCCATATGTTCTTTGTCCATCCTACTTTACAAACCTAGATAACTGATCAAGTGAAGATATCAACCTTCCCCTTATATTCCCCAAGAGATGGCTGTCCCCTGTCATGCAGGCCAGTCAGACCTACCACATCAGACATATGGAAAATGACTGGAAATCAAAGAGAAAAAAAGAACCCAATGCAGATGGAATCTCCTTCCCAAGTTAGAAAAACATGTACCTTTGAAAAAGCTACTTGTAGGGGCTGGCCCAGTGGCGTGGTGGTGAAGTTCGTGTGCTCCGCTTCAGCAGCCCAGGGTTCACGGGGTGGATCCCCGGCGCGGACCTACACCACTCATCAAGCCATGCTGTGGCAGCGTCCCACATACAAAATAGAGGAGGACGGGCACAGATGTGAGCTCAGGGCTGCTCTTCCTCACCTAAATAAATAAATAAACAAGCTACTTATAAAGTAGGCTTTTCTGCAGGGCCATGGTTTTGTTATTTTTGGTTAGCTTTATCTTGTGTGCTAAATAGTAAAGTTGTTTCTTACTGGGTAAAGTTTAAAATGCTTTTATAAAGCAAAAAAATTGTTTACAAACAGCTGGCTTCCTTTTATTATATTTTATTATAATTTTTGTCTTTTAGGGAGTTAATATTCTCTTACAAAAATGCTTAGAAAGTTTTTAGTCACATCTATGGATATATTATACAAGAGGAAAAAGTTACATTTGTATAAACCTTAACAGGGCTGAGTAACTCTTCAGGAGTCTGTAATTGTGTTTTCCTAAGCCAGATGAGGACATTTTGAAATTATTTGAATTTGTCTCATTTTATTGCTTTTCATTTTACATGTTATGAAATTTAAAATTTTCAATTTGTCCCAATTATATCAGACTTTTTAGAAGAGCTATTTCTGTAAACCTAGTTCATTTTGAAAGAGACAATCAATGAACAATAAGAACTGTGAATAAAGCAACGGCATTGATTTACTAGTGGTTCATACTCTTCAATAAACTTTATATTCATCTCACAGGGTTTCTTCCGGCGAACCATTCGACTGAAGCTGGTGTATGACAAATGTGAACGTAGCTGCAAGATTCAGAAAAAGAATCGAAATAAGTGCCAATATTGTCGTTTTCACAAGTGCCTGTCAGTTGGGATGTCCCATAATGGTAGGTAAGGTTGTCTATTGCATTTTCCCAGTCCATGCCTCAGTTTACCTTCCTTGTTGAGTTGAGATGGACTGTATTTTGAATGAATGCTGCAACATTTAATACCCAGATTATTTTGTAACCATAATAGCCTAAGAAAATAAAAGTCTCAAACAGCTGAGATTCAGCAGAGCACGTGGGATGACTGTTAGAACCTTTGAATGATAAGACGTTGATATAAGATTGTAAAACCAACTGGAAGTCACTTTGGGATGTCTGAATGTTCATATCATACATATGAAGCTTGTGCCGTTTTGAACATTTTACCATACTGTGAATTTAATTATATTCAGTCTTACTCTAATGTTAGAACATGCTAATTACTACATGAAGGTAAATTTAAAATAACTAGTTCATAAGAGGTGTATGTCTACCTTCTGGAAGAAGAAAAAGGTATTATAGAAACTCATTGCTCACCTTCATCTCCTTGACCTAAATGATTGATAATGGGAGTAAGCAACCTTAAGCCCTTCCTGCTGATGAAATGAGTCATAGTGTTACCTTTTATTTTAACCTTTTTAAAAAGTCCAGGATTTATGGAGTTTGAGTTTTATTTTCATCTCTCTAAAGTAGAAAGTTGAATATTATTGAGGAGAGGATTTTAACTTAGCTGCAAATTTTCATTCATAGTTTAGTTCATGGTGTGAACTTTTTGTTCCACTATTCATCATTATTCCATGCTGTGTTGTTCGTTTCTGTTTGTTTTCCATTATTCCATTCTCTCCCCCTGCCCCCCAGCAATTCGTTTTGGACGAATGCCAAGATCTGAAAAAGCAAAATTGAAAGCAGAAATTCTGACATGTGAACATGACATAGAAGACACTGAAACTGCAGATCTCAAATCTCTGGCCAAGAGAATTTACGAGGCCTACCTGAAGAACTTCAACATGAACAAGGTCAAAGCTCGAGTCATCCTTGCAGGGAAAGCCAACAACAATCCAGTAGGTGTTCTTGCTGCTGTTTATTGCGAGTCTGAAGTGTTCCATTGGCAACATGTCAACTAGGGTCGTAGACAAGGATTGAGGAAACGTATGAAATGTTCAGAAAATAATATTTATCCCCAAGGCAAACCAAAGTCAATGGAATGGAAACATTTCACTTAGAGACTCTAAAATGTAGCTTAACAACAACTCCTGTCTTCTGGGTTTGAGCCACCTCAAAGCTTCTAGCAACCAAGTTATTATAATTACCATGTAATTAATACACCAAAAAAAATCTCATTAATAGCTTACCAGATTCTAGAGTCGTTTCTTAAGTACATTTTTTTAAAAATCCCTATTTTAATGCCACAAAATGAAACCATTCACTTCACACTCAAAACTCGCCTTTGCATCCTTTCTCCTAAAACTGCTCCGTCCTCCCCCGTCCCACCCCATAGGCCCCCCACACACCTTCTTTTCTTCAATGAGAAGGCAGTGACGTCTCAGGGCTTGGAAAGGGCCATTTGTTTACAGAAACTTCATTGTCTTTTTGGACAGTTCTGGACCTTTTGAATAGCAACAATGAGTGCCCCTGGTGGACCCCCCACACTTCATCACCACCTAGCCTAGTGTCATCCTGCCCCCACCTCCCAGTTACCTAAGTCTTTGTCTCCATTACAGAACTAATCTCAGAGCTACCTTCAAAGAGGGGGACAGCTGAGGTTGGCAAATAAAGATACTTTGCCTTTTTGCTGTGAACATGGTGAAACAGGTTTAATTTGTACTAATGAATAGCTTGAAGCAATCCTTATTGGGAATTATGAGCTGGAATTTTTAGTCACAGGAAAATAAAGTATTTCACAAGCTACTTACTTTCATGAACAAACCAAACCTCTTTTTTACTGCATCTCTTAATTCTTCAGTGAATTCTCCAGTTAAATAGGCTGAGACGTTTCGGCAGAGTTCAGGCAAACTCTGTGAAGTTGGAAAAGCCACACCCACGCTGGGCGGCCCCGAGGCTCTTACAAATTAGACCCTTTCTGGATCACAGGGGTGAAGACAAAGTAACTCTTTAACTTTGAATTTCAATCCTGGAAATGATTAGTATAGCCCCAAATTAGAATAACCAAGAATTTTGGTCTCTTTTAGATCTTTCTGAGCGCTTCTATTTCTCCAATGGATTTTGAGAATTTAAAGCCAACTTAAAAGTCATCGTTACTCTTAACCAAACACTCTTGGTTAATGTTAATTTGATTCCCATGGAGTATCCTTCACACTTCACTGAGATCCACATGCTCTTAGAAGGAGCCCTGTCACCCTTGGCCAGTGGTGATGAAATCTGGGCAGTTGAGGACTCTCCCACACAGTTCCTCTCAGAGAGGAATCTGTATTTTGGTAGTCTAGGATTGCGCTTCACTGTATCAGAAAGACAGAATTCAGTGTACTGCTAAGCGTCAATGCCTCCCCTGGCCCACACCTCCAAACCAGAGCACCACAGGGTTCCGCTTGAAAGGAAATGTCCGGGGGTCACTCCTGCATTTGATTGCACTGTTGCTCCAAGCCAAGCTCACTTCCCACCATGTCCTCTGTGTGTCGGAGGTGTGGCTCTCCTCCTGCCTCCTCACCCAGCCCAGTGTGCCCCAGAGCTCCGAGCTCCCACTAGGGGCAACAGTCTCTGCTGTTCTATCTGGGTTCAGTCTGGACGAAGAGCCAACAGGCAGGACACCCCCTGCCACTGCTGGAATCTCTTCACAGAGCCCCAGTTTTGTCACTGCAGGGGACATCAGGACCACAGCCTGCATCTCTTACGTGGTTTAGAAAGCAGTTCAGTCTACTGGTGGGAAGTGTGTTGGGGAGACCAAGCTTTGGCCCTGACCTATTCACCTTGACCTGTGCTCACCACTCAATAACCTTTTCACAAAAGTTCCGACCTGGGATGATGTGACAGCCCTCATTGATGCTCTGTGACATGGAATTGGTCAGAGAAGCGGAGTCTGTTTCTCAAACATCCAAGTCTGCAGGGTTGGGGTGCTTTGGAGAGGATGTATCTAATGTTAACACTGCAGAAAGGGGCACCAACCCCAGAGGGTGTGTTGCAGGGGCAGGGAGACATGAATTTGTCCAGGCTGTAAACAGATGTATTCACGCAACCATGAAGAACATGAGCTTGTGTAGGAGGATGGGTACTGTCCCCGGAGCAGGATGGGGCTGCTTTGCCATCAGCTCAGGGCTGGGCTCGCTTCCCAGCCGGCCTAGGAGCAGCTTCCTCCTGCAGGGACTGCTGGCGCAGGGGCATGTGCGCTCCTGAACTCTCACCCAGACTTGGCCCTAAGATGTCTGAAACCTTGATGGAGAAAGATAGGTGCTGGACAGACTTTTAATTTGAAAGCAGGGCTCTGGTTTGCTAGAAGTGGGGAGCTGAATTTATCCTTGCAGTAGACCATTTCTTTGTTCTGTGAAAACCACTTCTGTGGCCTGTAGATCAGATAAAGCAAAGACTGTGGCTGACCTGGAACCGGTTAGGGTGCTGAGTAGACCAGGAGGGGGAACCTGCGGGGTTGGCGGGGCGGGGGGGATGGAGGGGGTGGGATGGAGTGTGGGGGTGGAGAGAGGGTCTCAGGAGGAGGAAGGGAGCTACCATAGATTCAGTCACTTTAGGGAAAAATGGGTTTTAGCTGAAGGAAGGGGGGTGATGGGATACATAGCAAATGTCTGTTTTCATCTGGACATAGGCTGGTTTGAGACCCTGAGATTTCAGAACTGGGGGCCAGAAAATGACCAGGGCCTTTAGTTATCCAGTCAGAGCCTGTCAGGGGACTTGCTGCCCCTTGATTTGAGGGTAACAGGGACAAAAGCAGAGCTGAGGAACAGGGAGAACAGTAGTCTCCTTTGAGCATTGCTTCCAAAAGAAGCACTTTTCAACAGTGCCTTAAAAAGATAATGTGTTGATCTGTGAGGTGTTAAAAATTCACAGAGGCCGGCCCAGTGGTGTAGTAGTTAGGTTCATGTGCTCTGCTTTGGCAGCCCAGGTTTGGATCCCAGGCACGGACCTACACACCGCTCGTCAGGCCAGGCTGTGGCAGCAACCCGCGTACAAAATACAGGAAGATTGGCACAGATGTCAGCTCAAGTACAATCTTCCTCACCAAAAAAAAAATGTCCTGAAAAGACTTTTGAGCAGGCAGCCTGCAAATGAGACTGTGAGGAGCTTTGAAGTCAGCCTCTTGCTTACAGTGTTTGCTTCCCTCAGGGGAACCAAGGGCTCAGGCCCCAACTCGCACACACACGCACACTCACACACACTCGCACACTCGCACACACACTCATTCTCGATCAGGCTCAGCTGCTTCTGGTTCTAGAAGCTAGCTGTGCCTCTGAAAAATGAATGAGAGTGTTTAGTTAAAAAAAAAAAAAAAGCCAACTCGTAGCACTAACTATTTAGATTTTAGCAATTCAAAGCATAAGGTGACAATAAGACACTACTGCTACTTTTTACATCTAACAAACAAATCAAAACTTTATTCACTTCAAATGAAGGGGACAGCATATGTTTATTTCAGAGATTCCCGTATTGCTCAAAATTGTCAGGAATTACCTTTAGAGTCTTTATTTATTTATTTGGTGAGGAACATTGGCCCTGAGCTAACATCTGTGCCAATCTTCCTCTGTTTTGTATGTGGGACGCCGCCACAGCACGGCTGGATGAGCAGTGTGCATGTCCGTGCCTGGGATCTGAACCCGTGAACCCCCAGGCCGCCGAAGCAGAGCATGCAAACTTAACCACTATGCCACCAGGCCGGCCCCTCTTTAGAATCTTTAAATATCTTCAGTTATGGAAAATCTTTACCCTCTGAGAATATAATTGAATTTTAGACAAAACCATGAATCATTTGCAGTCAGTCTGGTATGCAAACTGGGATAAAACAGAGTAAAAATCTTGTTTGAAAAAAAAATAAATGAAGCAAGGAGACTAACTTTTTACATGTGGCTGACAACAGGTTCTAAAACTAGTTTTGAAAGAGGAATTCCAACATTATTCTCAACATGGCCATATCTTTGGGATAAGGGGCCTCCCAGGCACCATCCTAGAGCAGCACTGCCCCTTCTAATGGATGTTGCCTTGCACCACATTGTGGGGTTTTGCCTCCTGTGTTATGTTGAAATATTATACATACTACTTAAGTTGTCTTTAGATACTTAATATTTTATCCTGTTTCTAGAAATGTGTAGTAAAACCTAACCAAAAGCTTATGAAATAATTTCATCCAAAGCAATTCTACCAATAATTCACAATTAAATTTTTCCTAAAAGACGGTGCTGCTCAACTTTTCATAGAAAGTGCTGTTGAAATGTATTTTGGAGGTGAATTCTTGTAACATCATTAGCACACATAGAACACCGTCAGGTGTGAGCAAGAGTAACATACGTCGGTTAGGGGAGCCTCCCTGTCTCGGCGTGTGGTGATTTGAGGGGAAGCTGGGCGGCTTTCTGCCTTGTGCCGTTTAAGATCTTTACAACGTGCTTTATTTATTTGAACTGACCCCCTGTAATGTCAGATATATTCCTATTCAAACTTGAGTATAGAAGGCACATCCCAAAATTAAATATAAGCTGCATGGATTTTTTAAATAGTCTTATCAAGAGTGTTTATCAATGAAGTCTGGCAAATTTTCAAGTGTTTTAGTATACAATTTCTCTTTAGCTTTAAAAAACTTTTGTTTATTAATGTTAGCTCTTATTTTGAATTCAGATGGTTTCTGATTTTGCCTGTTCGTGAGGACTGCCTTCTCAAATCAAAGTGATAATTTTATAAAAATGCCATGAAATATTTGTTACCGTTTAAGTCCCCGTTTATGTCCCGGTTTATGAGAGTATGTTTCACATAAAACTAGTCCCGGGCCGGCTTCATGGGCGTGCGTCCTGTTTCACGAGTCCCCCTGCTTAGAAGGGCCCCACACTGGGGTTTAAATGCTCTGCTGTTGCTGTCTTGAAATTCTTGATCATTTTTTAACAAAGGGCCCTACATTTTCATTTTGCACTGGGCCCTGCAAATTATCTAGCCAGACCTGCATTAGTCCTATGAGATGCTCTACCAAAAAGAAATAAATAAAATAAGTGTTCTGTAATCAAACACCTTGGGAACCACTGCTTACCCTGGCCCCATTCTTGAAGATTCACAGTGCACACTCCTTACATTAAAGACTCTAGGAGGCCCTAAGCACGTTTAACTCAGTGCTTCTCAAATTTTTTTCACCATGGAACTCTTTTTTTTAATGTAATACCTTTATTTCTGCTGAATGTACTTTTAAAAAGCCAGTGATTTGAATAAAGTCAAGGTGGCCTAATGGTATATTTTCTTGAATTGAGGGAATATTGCCATCTATCCTTTAGAAACATTTCTCTAGTCCATCCTATAAATGTTAATTTCTTAAATCGGAGCTCCAACTTCCTGTGAAGCAGAACTGCCCCCAGAGTTTCCCCAAACAATGGTAATCTGGTTTGCTTCTAAGGTCTTTGGAGAGAGATAGTTTTAGTCTTCCTTAATCAGACTTGGGATATTTAGAAGTTTGGCTTTGAATTTTGTATTTAGAATATTTTCACTCATTTGTGGGTAATTTAAAAAATATCCCCTCTCCTCAGATGTGGAATCAGATTATTTTGTCCAACACTTATTGCAAATTCTAATTCTGTTTAAACATTTCAAAGACAATGCATGGGACTGTTTCAGTACCTCCGTCTTGCTCCTGTGCCAGGTCCACCCCACAGGTGCCCTGAAGATGGTTTGGTGTGTAGTTCCTCGTAATGCTCTTGTGAGCCCACAAACAGGGAACACATCATGCTGTGGGTCCAGATGCATGTCAGCGATGTGTTCTGCCCACTGGCAGAGTGATTCTTAAAACCCCTGGGCTGCCTATGTACTCTCTGTTGATGTCCTCCAGTAGGGATTGAAAATAATGCCTTGGCCCACTTGATTACTGGTCTGTAGAACACATATAAATCAGAGCGATCCCTTAGAGGCTGTCATTTCTTCTGCTTTGCACCCAGATCTGGCATACAATTTGGCCAGCAGTGGTGTTTGCACCCATCTCCAAAGCCCCACCAGATATATAATCCCTGCTGGGGATGTTGGCTTCAAATAACATGGCCAACCATCTCTCCTTTCCTCCACTAGATCTTTACAGAATGGCAGGACCAGTGGGTTTAGATGCACATGGTATGGCAACATGTAGGGAGCTACCATGGGGCTTGGCACTTGTTCCAGAACACGGAGCACCCATGTGAAGCTTTCAGTTTCATGCACAGGGAAACACGGGCTCAAAGAGCAAGAGTGTATAACGCTTGTTTGCTTATTTCTGCACAAATGCCAACTTTCTGAGTTGTATATATTTCATGCCAAATTTATTCATTCAACAGTGTTAGATAATGAGGGTTATCTCTAAAGTTCATGAAATGGTAAAAGTAAGAATTATGTGTAATTAAGGCTATTGCAGTAGTATTTAGGAGTTCAGAGAATATTATAAAATATTAAAAGTGCTTTGCTAATATTCTCTTGTTAGCTTTATTGCTAAAATCATTACTTCACTTTTCTAGCAATGAAATCCCCACCTAACATCAGGCAATGACGATTATCTCACTGATTTATGTTGTTAGTTCTGTATTAATGTCTTCTTGTCCTGAACTGATTTTGAGGTCGTTTAAGGATGAGGACTGTGTTTTGTGCATATTTTGATTCTCCACAGGTGATCTGGATACAGTGGCTACTCACCAGTTTACTGATAATTAAGAGGACAGCTTGTCACCAATTACCTGACTTACTCCAGTGTCTTCTTTTGCAGCCTTTTGTCATACATGACATGGAGACATTGTGTATGGCTGAGAAGACTCTAGTGGCCAAGTTGGTGGCCAACGGCATCCAGAACAAGGAGGCAGAGGTCCGCATCTTCCACTGCTGCCAGTGCACATCCGTAGAGACCGTCACGGAGCTCACGGAATTCGCTAAGTCCATCCCCGGCTTCACAAACTTGGACTTGAATGATCAAGTCACTTTGCTGAAATATGGAGTTTATGAGGCCATGTTTGCAATGCTGTCTTCCGTGATGAACAAAGATGGGATGCTGGTAGCATATGGAAGTGGTTTTATAACTCGTGAATTCCTAAAAAGCCTAAGAAAACCGTTTTGTGATATTATGGAGCCTAAGTTTGATTTTGCAATGAAGTTCAATGCACTGGAACTGGACGACAGTGATATTTCCCTTTTTGTGGCTGCTATAATTTGCTGTGGAGGTAAGTTATTGATTTAATCTGCTGGTGCATGTCATTTACAGCCTCCTATCTTGAAGAACTGGACAGTGGTCAATCTGATATGAGTGGGAGCTGCGCCACGGTGGAGCGAGCGGTGGCAGGGTGGGAGTGCATCTGAGCCCCCTCATCACCACTACTAGAATTAAGTGAGAATTATATCAGTATCATATCATGTTACAGCATATATTATGATATATAAATACATAAACATTATATAAATATGTTCTATTTATAATTATAATATACAAATATATATCCTATTTATAGTCATGATATATCAAATATATTAGATATTAATAATTATAATGTAATATAATAGCTAATATATATAATATATATAATGTATGGTATATAATATTGTTATTATATACTATAATTACATTATTATTACGTTATATCTGTGTTACAAACAGTATTCTATAAAGTGCTATACAGATGTTAGTACAGTTACCATCACTATTGGTATATTTATGCTATTTTGAAAAATATCAGTAGCTAACTGGCAGCGATTGCAAAGTTTGCTTTGCCAAAGAAAATAGATCCCAGTGAAGGAAAATCTGGGCCTCTCTGCAGGGAAGCTGGCCCTGCAGCCCCCACATTTTTGGCTTGGTATCACGTTCCTTTAAATAGCTCTGTCCCGGGTCTAAGAAGGTCATCCCTCTACTGTAACCTCGGCTGACCTTACCCAGCCTTGGGGGAGACGATGGGGTAACTGCCCCCGCAAACTGCCCGGAGCTGTACTGCACCCTGTGATTTACTGCCTCACAGAATTGAGGCTGGCTGCAACCAGCCTCATAAGTGGAGCTGGGTGAGGGCAGCCCAGCCCATGAAGTCTGTCCCTGTTACCACCCAGCTGGGCACAGTCAAGTGGAGGGAGTCCTTCTGCTCTGGCAAAAAGGGTAAAGCAACAAAGCAGTTGTATGTAATTGATCATAGTCCTTTGTATGCTCAAGATGCAGTGTTGTGGGTAAAAAGCGATTGCTTTTGTAGTATGATCACAGTTTTATAAAAGAAATGCTAATCGTATATCAATCCTATATATAGAAAAATGTCGGGAGATATACATTAAACCTGTATGATGAGGTTAAAATTATGAGAGGGGGTTCACTTTCTATTTTTTTACATCTTTCTGTTTAAAAACTTAATAATTGGGGCCTGCCCAGTGGCGTAAGTGGCTAAGTGCACGCGTTCCGCTGTGACGGCCTGGGGTTCGCCGGTTTGGATCCCAGGCACACACCAATGCATCGCTTGTCAAGCCTTGCTGTGGTGGCATCCCATATAAAGTGGAGGAAGATGGGCATGGATGTTAGCCCAGGGCCAGTCTTCCTCAGCAAAAGAAAGAGGAGGATTGGCAGATGTTAGCACAGGGCTGATCTCACACACACAAAAAAAAGACTTAATAATTATTTTACAACCAAAAAACAATGAAAAATCCCCACAATTAGCAACACTTTTGAAAATCCTAGTAATGGGTGGGACTTTAAAGAGAGCACTGCCTATTGATCATGGGTGAGCAGGTATTTTCCAGACCAAGGGCAGGACGTGTGGTCTGAGACTATCCCAGGAAGTCCAGTGCCCACGGCTGAGTTACCGCAGGGCGGTCACCTGGTGTGAACGGTGGCCCTTGCTGCACCGGCTCTCAGAGCTCCCCACTCCGGGCTGCTCAGCATCCTTTCCGCTGAAATCTGCCCTCCTATTCACATCTCGCTCCACTTTCTTTTCAGCTGATTCATGTCAGAAGTTACCTGCAACAGTGCTTTACACCACAAAACCCAAGTCTAACATAATCACACTCCTTAAATATTGGTGAAAAACTTGAAACCAAATATCTAGTTTTGACTCAGGAAGAAGAATTTCATTTTCTATATTTTGCAAAATTGGTTGTTGTAATCATCATCAGAATGTATAGTTACTCTTAACGTTTTTGGGGTTTTCCCGGGACAGGTGGTCATCAGGTAAATGCAAAATGAAAGGGCCAGACTGTCAGGTTGCTAGTCAGCTGAAGGTCATATAAATATTTAGGAATGAGTATTTGTCCTGTCTGCCCGCATCAGGCCTAGTGACTTTGAAAAAAATCTAGTTCTGTCTTCTAGTCAAGTTGACAATATCTCAGGCAGTGACGCTTTTCGTAAAAAAGGCCATGTGAAATAAGAGCATGTGGTTTCTCAAAGTGACAAAGTTATTAGGCGTTAGCATGGTGATGATCACATCTCTTCTTTCTTTCGAGAATAGATCGTCCTGGCCTTCTAAACGTGGGACACATTGAAAAAATGCAGGAGGGTATTGTGCACGTGCTCAAACTTCACTTACAGAACAATCATCCAGACGACGTCTTTCTCTTCCCAAAACTTCTTCAAAAAATGGCGGACCTCCGGCAGCTGGTCACCGAGCATGCGCAGCTTGTGCAGATAATCAAGACAGAGTCTGACGCAGCTCTGCACCCGCTGCTGCAAGAAATCTACAGGGATATGTACTGATTTCTTGTGAATGAACAAAAAAAGAGAAACTTTTCAAGGTTTTTAAAGTTGACAGCACTACAAATGAGAACTGGGAGCAATGCAACTTTGCACAAACGTCCGCCATTTTACCCTTAGAGAATGGAAAGTGTAGGCTGTAGGCAGCCGGAATCCTAGTGCACGTTTCTTTCTCTTTTCTCCAGTACTTCTAAGAGCCTGCGAAGTATTGAGATGCTGGTTATAAGTGGCTAATAGTCAGGACTTGGAAAATTAAGGAGGATGATGTTCAGCGGTCTGATTTTAACTCGCCTGATTTAATCAATGCAGATTTCTTGGTGTCACACTAGTAATGTACCATTGAATCCACTGGCAACCTCAAAATACGTGGTCGGTCTTCCCTTTTTACCATACTTGGTTGTGCTCCTTTGTAATTCTGAAAACTAATCAGCACTTTTTAACTTTTATAATCCTGTAAATCTAGATGTATCCAAAGGTTAGGTATTTTAAAAGCAGCAAAATATTTATTTGGAAGACTTCAGCTCTGTTTCCTGAATTTGAAGAAAGACAACAGGCTGGTTTTTAATCATAGGATTTAGAGTTGCAGAGAATTCTTCAATAAGCTATCAAGACGCAGCAGTCCTTCAGTTTCCGGGTCACTGTTTGCGTGGTTGTGACGAATACGTGGAAAAGCCAGTTTCCAGGTTTGGGTAGAAAACCCAGAAAACCACGTCTCCAGACCCCTCTGGACTTGACCGTATGCCTGTTGAAGCCAGTGTCTGTGGTAAGCAGGAACAAGCAAGCTCTGAAAGTATGTCAGCTTCCATTCCTGTCACCTGGGCTTCCTGTCAGATCTGAACCAACTGAGGCAGGCTGTTTGGGGCCATGGTAGTGTTTTTAGGGGCAAACTGACAAATTATTTGTAAATGTTCCTCTGGACCCCGTGGGTGAAGGCAGCTCCTGGTCTTTTCCAATGTTGCTATTTAAAGTATGCAGCTTTATTTTTTGACTCTTGGTGGTAGTAGCTGCTCCCTGGAGTGGAGAAGGTGAGGCACATGTGACTTTATAGGATGGGTTGGGGGTGGGGGGGCGGGGTGACCTGGAGAACGAGGGCGGGTACGAAGTCCTTCAAATGGTGGTTTTACTTAGTCTCAGGATTCACCACAGGCTGGTTGTTTTTACAAAGATTTAGAGAGTTAAGTCTCCTTTTCCAACCACTTATGTAAGGTGGTTTTTCCAACATCTAAAATATTTGTTTCAGCCTTAAAGATCAACTTCAGTCCGGTTGTGAAAGCAGTGTAGAGCATGGTTTTTGTGTAAAGCATATGGACCTGGAGACACTTTCTCCTTCCGTCCGCCACAGTAGATCAGTAGTCCCATCAGGGAATTTTCGGCCGTCCCTCCCTCCCAGCCAGACCGGGTTGAGCTTGCCAGTACCATTGCCTCCATGGGACACCTCGCTGACAGCACTTAGGACCTGGTTGTACGCTTGACGCCCCTCCCACTCCATCTTTAGAAGATTTGGCTCTAGAAGGGCATTATTATTTTCTGTTAAAGAATGATTAGGATTGATATTGATAAAGTTCCCAAGATGAGAATTATGAAAATGCAACAGTAGAAAGCACAATAAAACTGAGACTTGAACTAGAAAAAAGTAAAAGTTACAATTAGGACATCCTTTTTTAAAAATTACACATTTAGTAGTTTTTTTTTTTTTAAAAGATCCAATCAAAGGATATGTTGGAAGCAAATAAAAGTATTTCCACACGTGAATGGCACCAATCAAGAGGTCATCCTAAGTCCAAAAGGGGCTAAGCTTTGAGTCACATGGTGCATCCATTTGGCCATTCTTTACTAAAATGAGAACTCCCTGGACTCATGAGACTGGAGGGCTGTGGCTTATCTAAGGTCGTGGGGTCGGTGGATTCCAGTGCCAGGTCTGTGCTGCTTCCATTGACCACCAGCCTCTCACTCTGATGTACCCTAGACAGATGCCACTCAAATGGACATGGCCTTGGAAAGGGAGCCTCGAGACCCAGGCTTTCAGAAAATTCATTCATTCTGTTTAGATTTTCATAAAACCTATCTAAAATCGCTCCTTATTTCATGCTTTCTGCAGTAGCAGTCAAGCTGACGGAAGACAGAGGTTCTGCATTAACAGTGTGAGTGAGCATTTAGTTCTCTTGGGGCCTAGCAGGACTACCGGTGAGGAAAGGCTGGAAAGGAGGCCCCAGGGACCTCAGCTTGAATGTCAGTTGATGTTGTTCACTTTTATTAATAGGAAGAAAATCACATGTTCCCATTCATTTTAAACAACAGCATCATTAATTGCCACTCAGAATATTTTGAGTCATCTAATCAAAGATTTCTCAGAGCATCAATAGTCAAATATAGATGAATTATTCACCAGTTCAATAAGCTGTAGTATTTCAAATAGGAACTATTAAAAGAGTGCATTTACTGCTTGCTAGGTTTCTTGCTAGGTAGACATCAGCATAAAGTACAATGGAAACTTTGTAACAGTTCTATAAGCTTCAAACCACAAGCCTAAAGCCGGCCTCCTCTGGTGGTGAATGTGGCTCCTTTTCACCACTGTGACGGGATCTTCAATGAGTCACTGCTTAAACCTGGCTCTTCATTTTCTCGCCTTGTAATAGCAAAAAGTGCCAAACTCCTCAAGAGACCACAAAATTACCAAAAGCCTTTGTCTCAAGTGCTGACGAGAATGAAGGGACAACTGGGGCCCATGTGAGACGTGCCTCCTAACCATGCCAGCCAGCTCCGGCTTGGGATCCCACCTGGTCCTCTCCACCCCGTCCCACAGCGCGTCCCTCCTGTTCCGCCTCCTGAGCATTTCTGGTTGGGTGTCCCAACCAGACGCTGAATTCTGCACCCACCAACCCGCGAGAAGCCTGAGGGCTGCACATGCTCGAGGCAGTTTCGGTGAAGTTCAGTATCATCAAAAACAAGATGCTCCCAATTCCATCAGCAAGAGCGGGATTCAGGAGCAGTTTGAATGTTGTCAGAGCACTAGTGAGCTGTTCCTTTCTTCCCGCCTGCTCTCCAGTTTTCCTGTGATTGCCCCATGGTTGGCTGATGAGATGAATTCGAAGCATCTTCTACAGAGTATGTATGTATAAGCATAAATAATGAACGTGAAGTCGAGGAGAAAGAAACTTGGTGCTTAGTACATTCAAGAATGCCCTCAAGAGCTGTCCCTGTTTTAAAGGGATTCTTTCTTTTCATTTTAAGAGCACAGAACGTAGCTTTTGGCTTGTACTGATGTGTTTCTTACACAGGCCATCTAAAACTCCAGGGAAACAAATGGCCTCGAGGATTGTGAGATCCCAGGGGCAGGGTAGCATCCTAAGATCTGAGCAGAAGCTCAAGGCACAAGTAAAATCTTTCGTTTGATGTATGATGACAAGTAAACTATTAATTTGGCAACATTTGTTTCCCCAAATCAACAGCATAACAGCTACCTCAATAGGTATATCAAGAGGCACCGTTAGAATTAAGGTGCTCAAAACACTGGGGCCTTTCTGGAGCATCTGCAGTCAGACTGTCTGTGATCAGGGCTCAGAGGTTGCATGCTCACCTTTGCTTGTCCGCACACTGAGAAATGGGAGGTTATGACTCTTTAAAGGAACTTTTGTTGTTTAAAGAGAACCTCAAAGATCCGCATGTGCAGAAGTTGCTGCCCTGATTTAGTGAGACTGCGCATGAACATGACCCGGGTCAGGAGAAGCAGTGATGGTCTTGGCCTGCAGTGACCCCCCCCCCACCAAGGGCCTCCCCTTGTCTTCACTGACGCCTGCTGGCTAGTCAGGGAGAGACTCTGCTGATGAGGATGGAAGGAGATGCCTCCAAGCAAACCTTAGCTGGACGGTGACTTTCCAATGTCTCGCCCCTCCTAGTAGCACCTGTGCCTCTGTGCTTGACTCCAGGCACTTCCTGCCTCATGCTCCCTTTTTTAAACCACGGTGACATGGGGCACATTTGATACTTAGTAGCCAGCTGCACAATGGAGGGTTTTTTTGTCTTAACTGTTTTAATGTCTTAACCCAGTGGCCCTGTCTTTGGAACGTCTTAACAAACTCCTGTTTAAATGTGTGTCCATTCTTTCAACCAACGAATCCAGCACTCCCAGCTAAGACTGACTTGACTGCTGGCCTGGCCTTCTGGGGGGCTTCCATGGACCCAGGGAAAGCCAGCCACCTCAAAGGACCTCTTCAACCCGTATGGCCTTTCAAAACACAGATCCCACTAGGAAAACATGTCAAGTGTTCACAACTCCCCAACTACGCTTTGGATCTTTACAGCTCTCAACGAAGGTTCCTGCTGTCTCCTCCGATTCTCAATCCCTTGAGGGGATCATCCCCAAATTAAAGTGAAAACACCCAGGCTCAGGATGAAGGGCCACCTGACCTTGCAGGTCTCTGGCCCCAGTTGTAGCACACTTTCTCCACCTCCCTGCTCTTGCCAGCCACCTACGACCTGGTGAGTTCAGGGCCCGGGCCCCTCCTCCACCCACGCTCTTGTGGGTCAGCCTGGTCTGCCTGACACAGGTGTTCCTGGAGGGGTTACTTGCTTAAAGCCTTTCTTTTAAGCTCACAACAATGGTGTTGATTCAGGAGAGGCAAGGAAATTATACTGCCCATAGAAGTCGCAGACTAAGACCAAGGCCACCACCTGGGGGCTTACTGATTATTAGAAAGTGTCCATGGGAGATTTTCTCCACACACCCAGTGTTTATGGCGTTGGCACTGCCAGGCACCGAGCGGTTCCAAAGCCAGCTCTCTGTATTTGTTCTCATTTTAAAAGTGGCCCAGCTCCTCTTAGCTCTTGGTCCAAGCTGGCTCATGGGGGTTCCCTGGGATTAATGACTCTTACCAACTAAGTCTTGGCATCGAGTTGTCAGTTAAGGGGACTCCTGCCTTCTGACAACAGCAACCTTCAGATGGCGCAGTCGGGAAGTGAAGTGTCCGTGAACACCTGCAGCAAGAAGGTTCTGTAGACAGCTCGGCTGTGCTGTTGCTGTGAGGAGCAAAGGAAGGGGTGTGATGAATGTGGACCAGTCTGCCTGAACTGGGCTGGCAGCGCCTTGCTAACCAAGGGATTCTTTGATGCCATTACATTGTGGAGTGGCCTTCCTCTTTCTGAGTCCAAGGACTTCTCTCAGGGCATGTACTCCTCTGGAAGACCTTCTGCCCAGAAAGATCTAAGAGTAGGCTCCAAAGATTGAAGTCAAAAGTTTTTGCTGAGATTTATACATATTTTAGGTGCCATTTTAATAGAATTCAGGAAAATGGTCATTGACCTCCAGCCTGTGAAACACACTAGAGTAAGAATAAAGCAACAAATTTGGTGTGACTCCGGACATAGGAGATCCGTTATATTTCTCAGGAAACCACAATACAAACTAAAATGTGATATTGGAAGTTTTGTAAAGAAAAAAATGACAGTGAGTCTTCATGCTTTAGGTTAGTTACATAATGCTTCCATTATGTTATTTTTGTGGAATACAGCAGGTTCTTAAACTTGATCTCAGTAGAGTGTGCTTATTAAAAAAAACCCCAAGGTGTGGGCCCACTGGTTAGAACAGAAAGCGAGAGGCCTCTGCCCAGGGCTGCTTTCTGCACTGCCCTTTCCCAGCTTGGGACGGCTTCTCTGATCTGGAGTGGGATTATAAACTGACCATTTGCTTCTCAAAATTTCAGCCTGAGGCATGAGAAATAGAACTGTTTACTTCCCCCTCCCCGAGAAGGATGGGGCCATAGCATATAACATGGTCCAACTGAAGTACAGAGCCACATCCTTTTGGAATCCTTTGCCAAATAGAACAGACCGAACTGCATCCATGTTCAGTGTCACATCTTGATTGAAGCAATTGAGAACATCAAGGACTTCAGAGGCCCCATGGCTGTTAAATGCATTCTTTGCAAAATAATGAAGAAATATCAACTTTTTTACATCATAGACAGCAAATTAAGACCTGGGTCAGATTTTTTAACTTAAAATGTTTGCTAGCTTGGATCAAATGTGAAAACCTTCCATGTTTTTCTCCAGAGAAGGGAATTACCAGCCTCCTCTTCTCTTGCCCTTCTCCCCCCGTTCGGCATCTAAAATTCATTAATACGATGAGTAGACACAGTATCACGGAAGCAGGTGCACAGACAAGCCCCCCACCATGAGCTCTGCCTCTTAGGACAAGGGGTGAGCCCCAAGATGAGGGGCATGTGGCCAGAGGGGCCTCGGGCCTCGACTCAGCCTCCTCAAGGCAGGGAGGTCAAGCTTCAGGCCTTGAAGACAAGTGAGTGACGCATCTTTCCAAGATAAAATCATTCACTTTTGGGAAATGTCTTGTCTTCTTAAAGGCACAGATGGTCTGTTCCTTTTTTCAGGCCTAAAAAAAAAGTACCTCACAAAAGATGAATACCACTTAGTACGCTTTTCAGTAAAATTATAGTATTCCCATTCAAGTATCACTATTTTTTTCTAAACTGTATGGTAAAAAGAACTATGTTAATAGTTATTTCTTAAATACTGTGATTTGAGGATTTTTTAAAATGCTAATATAAATATTTTACTAACGTACAATCATGCATCTAATGACTTGGGTTCTTTTGAAATCAGTGTTAATTGACGTATGCTCTTAATAGCCTGGCTCTTGGACCTATTGGAAACACAAAGGAAGCTGAAATATCACAACTGAAATATAACTGCACACGTGCACACACACACACACGTCAAAGCTTTTCATCTATCCTGAGCCACGTAGAATTGATTTTCGCCGTGCAAATCTGTTCCCATTGTCACACTTCACATGCAGGTAGCACAGCAAGTCTATCTCATCATTTCCTCCAGCAAGGCCGCCTTAGACCCAGATCAGAAGTCACTGATTGCACACAGCAGGGTCTCAATGAAGACCATGAACTATTCCTGTGTAGTAGTAAGTAGCCGTCTGCTCTTCAGGGAATTATTACCTGTGGGTTATTACCAAAGACTTTGCAATATGAAATATTCTGACAGAAACAATTTGCACCAGCTGGTTCTCTGGCAGCCTCCAGATGGCCCAACCTGAAGCATAAAACAGAAACCACGGACCCCATGAGTCTCCCATACGTTGTTTTCCTTATCTTGGCAAAATTCCTTCCTGATGTATATCTGTCCCACCCTTGGGATCCACAGGGCCATTCTGCTGAGACATGATGGGAGAGCATTTGACAGACACCCATCAGGATGGTGCAGGTTTCCGAAGCAAGACTGAGCTTGGTTTCTGGGTGTCTGTTTATCGTTACTCTTCTTGGGTGCCTTACACTCTCAAAAGTATTCAGGGCTGACAGACCCTTTGGTTTTTATACTGAACAGGAGCAGTTCCAAAGCAGATCTTTGTGAGCAGGCTGGGGTGTCCTCTCTCTAGGCATGGGGGGCATCCAGGGCCTTGGGAAGTAGGGATGTGCAGAGAAGAGCAATGGTATCTTCCTTGTCACATTAACTGGTAGTGGTTCCAGGCAATTAGAAAATGGTTATAAAATAACTTTAATTTTAAAAAAATCTTGAGTCTTATTCTTTTTCCCATTAGGAGATTGAACTGATCATATATATTGATTTATATCCTGAATTTGGGGGAACTTATATGTTTGGAATGTCCTACTGTAAGACTGATGAATGTAAAGCATTAATTTCAGGGTACAGTTTTGCCTTAATGGTTTTAAAAAATAAACTATTTTTTAAAATTATTTGTTGAGTTTTGAGTGATGCTGTGAGGTGAACTGTTTGGTTTGAAAAAACCAAATCCCCAGCTTTGGTGTCTGCCCTTAGCCCAGAACAATCCTCCCACCCACTCGCCTGAGGTGGTCTTCCCGCGAACAGAGTCCCTTTTTGTCTGTCCTTCAGTGTACAGAATGGACCTCGGACAGTGTGGCCCAGGAACATGACATCCATTTGTCTAAAGTACATGCAGCAGGGGAAGCTTTTAGAAGTGTGGGCATCTGAAAAGAAAACCCAGCACACAGATGGGTCAGTACAAGCTCTTTATTCATTCTCTCCTCAGACACGTTCCTAAGGCCCCCGGGGGGTAAGCTGGCCTTGCAGTAATGACAAAATGAGACAGAGCAGTTCCCACCCTCTAAGAACTAGCAGACAGAAAGAAGGTGAGCTCACAGTTCAGTATATCACCAGTTGCTACCATGGGGACTATGAGAGCAGGAGTGCCGGGGGGGGGGGGGGGTGCCTGGGGGAGGGTTGCCCCGGGACAGCCGGTAGTCTGTGGGGTTGGACTTCACAGGCACCCAGCGCTGAGTTCGCTATGGAGAGGGGGCAAGAAACAGAATGGTTTTGAGGTGTGAGCATGAGTGAGGGAAGGAAGCCGAGGGCATTCCTCTGCCTTGGAATGGAATTGGGCCTGGAGCTAGAGCCAGCGCCTGAGCAACAGAAAAGGCTAGAAGCACCAACATTCAATCTCTTGATCTACCGCCAGACCCAGAGCACTTGCGGAGAACACTGGTCTCACAAATGTTTCAGGGGAAGGATTATTTTTCAAAACATTAACTAGTTCTTTGGATTTTTAATTATAAACATGATATATGGTCAAGATCAAAAACATTTTCCAAGCATCACATAAGGATGTGAAGTAAAAACTTTATCCCCCAGACCTCCCAGTCGTGTTCTGTAGCTCTCAGCACGCCTCAGCATCTTCCCAGAAGCATACAGGTCGCCTCCCTGTGGACCATTCTGCTGAATGACATCTTCGTGGCGTGAGCACTCACTTTTCTGGCATCTGGGAAGGCAGGAGACCCCTCTACCTGCGATGGCTGGGAGAAGCAGCCCCTCCAGCCTCTGCATGAGCATGGACAGCATGACCCCCCCAGATGTGACCACATATAGGGTCCCCATACTAGATCAACAGCTCTGAGACAGTGGGCCTTTGTCCCTTTGCTGCTGTGTCCACAAGACCCAGCAGAGCAGCGTGGCACATGGAGGCAATTCCTGGGTGTGATGAATCACATGATGGGTAAAAGGAGCCTTCCAGGCCTGGCCCTGTGTGAGCAGAAGCCAGGGGAGGACCTTGCAGGAAGGCCTGGAGCCTCAGCCCTGGAGGAGGAGAGTGAAAGGGCCAGCAAGCCCGGCTGTGGCTTCCCTTTGTCGCCAGTTCCTGCCCTGGGTCTCAGGGAGGGGAGCTGTGGAGCAGCAGGGCTGGGTTTGCAGGATGTCTAGCCTGAGGTCTGCCTTTGGGGGGCCTTCTCTGTATGGCTCCCGGTCCTGTTGCTGCTGCAGGCTGGACCCCAGCTACCTTGAGCTACAGACCCTGTTCCCAACTGCCCACAAACAGGGCAGGGCCAAGCAGCTCCCAGCTCAGCCCCATCCCTGACCCAGAAGCCGCAGAGGCCCAGCTGGCCCAGGAGCCCCATGCAGGGCACTACTGTGGATCTGGCACCCAGCTGCCCTCATGTCCGAGAACTGGGCTGGCTGGCAGGCCTCTTTGATGGAACTTTCCTTTTCTCCAAGTCTTGCCGAATTTCCTGAGGGAAAGCATCGATGTTCTTCTGGACACAGGGGAGGCAAAATCTCTTGGAATAGAATATACTGCATTCCTGAAAGAAGACGGGAAGGAAGGGGGCTGAGTACCACGGGGAGCCTGGTGCAGCTTCTCCTGGAGGCTAGCCCTTCACCACATGCTGGATGGGGCGCTGAGCACGGCCCCCAGGATACACAGGCAGCTGAGAGGAGGTGGGGACAGTGTTGCCAGAGCCAGAACAGCAGGAGGGAGAGCAGGGCCCTGGGGCCCAGCTGGCCTCCTCGAGGAGTGAGGTCTTTGCCTAAGAGAGGGACATGATGGAGGGCTGACGGAGAAGAGGGGCAAAGGACATGATGGAGGGCTGACGGAGAAGAGGGGCAAAGGAGGTCAGACCCTGCAGGTCGGGGGTGCTAGAGGGTTTTCGGCACGTGGGAATCATCCAGTGAGACTGGCGAAGGTGTCCAGGAAAGAGGAATACAGGCCTGGCTTAACCAGGGTGGGAAAGCGGGATGGGACAGAAAGACTCTGGGACTGCCCTGGCTCCACTGCAGGCTGAAGAGAAACGATGAGAAGCTGGGGCACAGGCCACACCCAAATGGTCAGAAATCCCAGATCCCTCCTTCTCCTGGCTGTCACAGCAGTGGGACAGGGGCTTGGTGACCACCAGTGCTGGGAGTGGCAGGGTGTTTGAGGGCCAGCCCCATAGACCAAAAAGGGCCTGGTCGAGTGGCTTCTCTGAGCAGAAGGCCAGAACTGTCCAGCCACGTCCGTTCTGCCCCCGCATCCATCCTCTAACACCAAACTCCAGATTTTCATCCCACACAGGGACTACCTTCCTAGCCCCTCTGCAACTGGGTGTAGCCATGCAGCTAAGTCTGGTCAGTGGCTGTGTGCCACCTCCTGGTCATGCCCTTCAAAGGAATGGGTGTGTGCTCCCTGTCCCTTCCCACCAGTGGAGATGTAGATATGATGGTGGGAGCTGCAGCAGCCACAGTGGCCCCAAGAGACGCTGTGTTGAGGATGGCAGCCGTGCCCTTCCAGCCAGCACTGCATGTTCTGGACTCTTACACAGAAGAAAACTAAGTGAATACTATTTGTCTTAATCAAGCCACTGTATTTTGTGGGTCTCTTTGTTCCTGCACCTTAGAGCATGCCTCAACTAAGACAAGGCTGTGCTTCCTGCAGTTCTCGGAAGAGATCTGTACCCGGGAGGACTCACTTGCTAACAACCTACCATTTATTCAAAGAAACTTAGAGATTTCTGACAGCACATTGGGCACCCTCCCCTCTGCTCACCAAGTGCCGCCCAGATTCCCAGGGGTGGCATTCAAGGCTTCTCCCCACCCAGCCCCACCCCCTTTCCAGTATTAACTTCCCAGCTGCTTCTCTCCCGTCGGAGCCTCAGCCTCGCCAGCCGCACCGTCTCCTCAAACACTCCAAGACTCCGTATGTGGTCTTCCCTCCAGGCCTCTGCCTGAGCTGAGGTTTCTTCACCCTGACCTTTGACGGGCAGAGGCTGACTGTCTAAATGTGGTCTGCGACGCAGCTCCCTTGTTTGCACTTTGCCCCCGACAGAATGCTTGGGACCTCAGACTGTGGGATCACTCAGGTGACAGGGGCCACACTCCTCAGCCACACCCCCATCTGTCGTTGGGCTTTTAGAGTAGGCTCAGCAATTCTGGTGACCTGGGCCCACTCAGCCTCTCCAAGCCTCAGTTTCTTCACCTATAAAATGGTGTAATACTGCTTTGCCTAACTAGGTTTGGGGCAGGACTGAAGGATCCCTCACCAGTAAAACAAGTCCCAAGCATAGGGCCTGGCACACCACAAATGCCCAAGAGAGCACAGTTCCTTCCTCTGGACGGTCCCCCCAGAACAATTAGAAAGAAGGTCACTGTCCTGGGGAGGGAAGGAGTGTGATGGCCCCCTGCAGAGTTGGGGGGAGGAGAAAGAACTATTAGGGGCCCCTGGGGGTGGTGCCGAGCCTCCAAGAATCAATTTCTCTTCCTCAACCCCCACTGAGACCCCCTAACTGACCCTAGCTTGCCCCTCTGCCTGTCCCCTACCCCTGTTGGCTGCAGGGACCCATCCACAGTGAGGTGGACCAGCTGGCCTCTAAGAACTGGCCCCCCCAACTTAGTGACTGTGAGGGCTCCTCGGATCACCAGGAAAGGCTGATATTCACACAGTCCTTGGGAAAGGCTCATATGTCACCTCTCCCACGATCATGCATGTGGGGTCCCAGCCACAGGGAGGAGGAAAGGCAGCCCCAGGGACACGTGGCTTACCTACCGGGCCCACACACACCAGCCTGCTGCATAAACTGCATCGCGAGCCCAGGATCAGAAATCTGTCCTTGTCTGAGGTGAAGGGGTCCTTCATGACGTAGCTCTCCTCCAGGAGGCTGTAGGACAGTAAGTGATGCCAGCAGTCAGAACAGCCCGAACCTCTGCTGATGGAAGCTGGGCAGCAGCATGGACCTCCCCAGGGCCTGCACACTGTGTGGACTCATGGAGGGAGGTGCTGGTCCCCCTGTGCCACCGAGTAGAAACAGAGAGGCAAGCAATGGAGGGCCAGGCCGGAATTGAAATCGGGCCTGCTCTGGGCTCTGTACCAGCTGCGATGGAGAGAACCACTCCTCCTCCGCTGAAAGAAGGGCTGCTGCAAGCGAGCCCCCAGACCCCAACCTGACTCACCAGAGTACAGGCAGGGGCACGAGGTCTGCATCCGAGCTCTCCAAGCCCTCTGCTCACCCCTAGGAATAGTGACGCCCACTCTCAAGCTGCCTGCTTCCACATAGGGAGAAGCAGGGCGCCTTACACCTCTGTATGGTCTGGCCCCACACCGCACAACAGAAAGGAGACCAGAAAGGGGGGTTCCATGATGACCCTGGTTCCTGGTCAGCAGAGGAACCCCAGCCAGAAGAAAGAAGCCTTGCTCCCGCCACTTGTCCCAGGTGAGTAATGTATTGGTCAACTTCCCCCCAACGTGGCATTTGATGAAGGACAAGTTCAGGGTCAACAATCAAGCCCGGGACCCACTGGCTCTACTCTAGGCCTTCCCTGGGCAGATTCTTAGGAAGCTGGTCCTCAGGACTCACTCCCACCAGTGCAAGAGCCGCAAGGCAGGTGGGCTTCCCACTAAGAAAGTGTCTCCATAGGAACCAGCAGGAATGGCAACAAGGCCCAGCCCCAAACGAGGAGACCACCATGGCGCCTTTCACTCCCAGCTGCTGAGCTGTTTCAGCCGGAGCCACGGGGCTTCTACCCACAGCTGGAGCAGGTGATGAACTCTGGCCCGAGAAGGGAGGAAGGGGCTTGGAGGTCCTGGAAGAGCTGGATGGCCCTCGAGCCTTGCCCTGTGCGCCTCCTCAGGTCACACCTGAAGTGGCCAGAGCCTGGAGGGGGTGGGCCCAAAGCACAGCACCCAGGTCCTGTGTCAGACTCAGGTCAACCAGCTCCAGGCAGGGCTTCCCGGGCCCCTGGGCCACTGGTACTCACACGACAGACTGCGTGTCGGGGGGCTTCTGCCCCACATAGCTGTATGGAGCTGTCAAGGCACAGAGCTGGCACTTAAATACGCCCAAGGGACGACACTCTGTCTCACACGCCATCTGCAAGATCAAGAGACAGGGCATGGCACCTTCAGAACCAAGAACTACACACATCACAAAGCCTCCCACTGCTCGCTGCTTACTCACAAGACACAGGGCGCCCCTTACAGACAAGGAACCTCAAGTTCAGAGTGAGCACGAGGCCTGCTCAAGGTCACACATCATTTTCAAGTGGACATGAGATAGTCACCAAGATAGACTATACCCTGGGCCATAAAATGGGCCTCAGACTTTAAAAGACTAAAATCATAGAGTACATTCTCCAAGCCCAAAATAATTAAATTAAAATCAGTAACAAAAAGATACCTGGAAAATCTCCAAATATTTGGAAATTAAATGATATACTTCTAAATAAACCATAGTTTAAAGAAGAAATCACAAGGGAAATGAGAAAATATTTTGAACTAAATGAAAACTAAAATACAATAAATCAAAATATGTACTATGCGGCTTAAGCAGTGCTTACAGGGAAATTCACTGCTTTAAATATTTAAACTGGAAAAAAAGGTTTAAAACAATCATCTAAGTTTCTACCTTAAGAAGCTAGAAAAAAGCAAATTAAACCCAATGTAAATAGAAAGAAGAAAATAATAACACAAATCAAAGGAATAGAAAGTAGACAAACAATAGGAAAAAAACCAATAAAACAAACCTGGTTATTTCAAAACTTCAATAAAGTTGACGACCTCTAATTAGACGGATAAAGAAAAATGAGAAGAAAATACAAATTACTGCAATCAGGAATGAGAGGGGATATCACTAAGACTACAGACATTAAAAGGATAATAAAGGAATGTATGAACTTTTTATCAAATTAGACAATTTAGGTGAAATGGACAGATTTCTTCAAAAAATGCCAATTATCAAAAATGACTCTGGGCCGGCCCCGTGGCTTAGCGGTTAAGTGCTCACACTCCGCTGCTGGCGGCCCGGGTTCGGATCCCCGGCGCACACCGACGCACCGCTTCTCCGGCCGTGCTGAGGCCACATCCCACATACAGCAACTAGAAGGATGCGCAGCTATGACATACAACTATGTACTGGGGCTTTGGGGGGAAATAAAATAAATAAATAAAATCTTAAAAAAAAAAAAATGACTCAGAAATAGAAAACCAGGGGCCGGCCCCACGGCCAAGTAGTTAAAAGTTCAGCGCACTCCGCTTCGGCAGCCCAGGTTTGCAGGTTGGGATCCCAGGCTCGGACCTATACCACTCATCAGCCATGCTGTGGCAGCGACCCACATACAAAAAATAGAGGAAGATTGGCACAGATGTTAGCTCAGGGCTAATCTTCCTCAAGCAAAAAAAAAAGGGGGGACAATTGGCAATAGCTGTTAGCTCAGGGTGACTCTTCCTCAGCAAAAAAAAAAAAAATGAAGAAAAAAAAAGAACTAGAAAACCTGAACAGCTCTATAGCTATTAAGAAAATTGAATTCATAATTTAAAATTTTCCTAAAATATGAAATAAAACAACACCAAAATAACTTCATGCCCAGATGGCTTTACTGGCAAATTGTCAAGCATTTAAGGAAGATGTAATACCAACCTATAGAAACTGTTTCAGAATAGAGAGAAAGGAACACTTCCCCAGTGATTTTATGAGGCCAGTATTACACAGACACCAAAACTACCAGGATTACCCTGATACCATTAACCAGACAAAGCTTTATAGGTAAACTATGGACCAGTACAATATCCTTCACTAACACAGATACAAAAATCTTTAGCAAAATATTAGCAAACTGGGGGCCGTCCCGGTGGCATAGTGGTTGAGTTCACATGTTCTACTTTGGTGGCCCTGAGTTTGCCGGTTCAGATCCTGGGCGCAGACCTACTCACCGCTCATCGAGCCATGCTGAGCGGCATCCCATACAGAAGAGCTACAACTCTACAACTATGATATACGACTATGTACTGGGGCTTTGGGGAGGAAAAAAAAAAGAGGAAGATTCACAACAGATGTTAGCACAGGGTCAATCATCCTCAAAAAAAAAAAAATTAGCAAACCAAATTCGATAATTTATAAGAAGCCTAACACATCATGCCTGAGTGGATTCATCCCAGGAATGCAAGGCTGGTTTAACATTTGAAAACCAATAAATGCAATTCATAACAGTAACAGAATAAAGGAAGAAAACCATAGGATCATTTCAACAGATGCATAAAAAGCACAAGAAAATTCAACAGAATTTTACAAAATTCAAGGCTCCAGGTGGTGCTCCAAACCTAAACAGCTCCCCAGCTGACTACAGAATAAACTCCCTGCCCTGGCATTTGAGGCCTCTTGAACTCAGGTATCATCTTTTTCCAACTACCTCCCGCTCCGTGCACCAAGCTACAGCTCAGTTGGCTCACTCACTATCCTTCCAATATCCCCTGCACTTTCTCACCTCCTTGGCTTTGCTCCTGCTGTTCCTTCCACCTGGAAGGCTTTCCCCACATCTCTACCCATGCAATTTCCCTCTGGCTGTCTTAACGATTTCCTCTTTATCTTTGGCTTTCGGTGGTTTGAATATTTCATTTACTTTCTTTTTCTTTTAAACTTATTTATCCTGCTCGTGCTTCTTTAAGCAGTCTTTGATCTGTGGTTTGCTATCTTTCAGTATTTTTGGAAAATTCTTGACCATTATTCTCCAAATGTTTCTTCCGCCCCTTTCTTTCTCTCTCCTCCTGCTGCGATTCCAACTGCAGACGCGTGAGACCGCCTGCTACCGTCCCACAGCTCGGGGACCCCCTGTTCTGGGTTTGTGGGTCACTCTCTTTTCTCTTGTGTTTCAGTTTGGGGCATTTCTATTAACCTGTCAAGTTCACTGACTTTTTTCCCTCGGCTGCCTCAACTCAGCTGACATGCCCTCTGAAGGCATTCTTCATCTTATCCCCAGCGTTTCCACCTGCCTCTTCCTCACGGTTTCCTGAAAGGCCCCGCACGTCCAGGCCCGACCCCGGACCCGCAGCCCCTCCGCCGCGAGCGCCGCCACCCGCCGCAGTGGCCCTTCCCGCGTCCTCCGTCCCGTCGCCAGCGCCGCGAGCACCCGGCGAGCACTGGCCTCCCCACCGGCCTCCACCAGGGCGCCGAGTCCAGCCCGGCGAGCGGGAGGCGCTGGGAGGGACTAGGCCTCGGCGCGCGCGCCCCCGCCAGGCCGCCAGGCCGCGCACTCACCTCCGCCCCCGCAGCCCCGCGCGGCCCCGGCCCACAGCGCGTGCGCGGCCCCGCCCTGACGGCGCCCGACTGCGGGCGCATGCGCGGGACGGGGCGGGGCTTCGTGGCGGACTTCCGCCTCCGCCGCGTCGTCCCAGCCCCTGAGCTTTAGGGGCGCGGCGCGGCGGGGCAGGGCAAGGCTTGGAGCTGCTCTGACCCTAGCTTGCCGCCTTGGTCTGGTTTTCTGGCTGCTCCGAGGCCCTCAGCTTCTTTCTGGGTTTTACACCGGGACTCCAGGAGTCGAGGCTGCCGGTGCGTGGCCCGCAAATAACACGGTGGCGCGGAGGTTGACCCCATCGCCGCCCCGCGTGGTCGGCTCCCCACGCGCCTCGGCTGAAATGCCCTGGTTTTAGCTCGCGTGCTACCTGTCCCCCCCATCGAGCGGGAACCTCCGGGGCCTGGGCCGCAGGCAGAGGTGACTGTGTCCACTGAGGCAACAGACGAGATGGGTTCAAAGTGAGCCCTGTCGTTTCCTGCGACCTTTATAAAGCTGTGCACAGGGGACATGTCCCTGTGCTCCTCCAAAGCCTTCAAGTGGCCTGCTACGCCCGTCGTGATCTGGGCCCCAGCAGCCTTCAACTTTCAGAGCCTCACTCCGGGGCACCAACCACACCAGCTTCCAAAGGTTCCTCGGGTCCCCAAGCTCTCCTGCCTCCAGGCTCAGACAGGCTCTTCCATAGGACTGCAATGAATGTCCTTCCTTACCCCATCCTATTCCTGACCCCTCTGCTCCTGTGTATGCAAGGCATCATTCTGTGTAGTTAGGGGCAGGATTCTGAAGCCAGCAGGCCTGAGGTCTGGGACTTTTTCCTACGGGGAATTAATAAATCAGGATTATACAAACTAGTAATGCTTGGAACAAGAATTGCTCTTGGACCTGAGCAAGAGGGGGCCCTGCCCTGGGCACCAGGAATTAGCAAGCACTTTGATTTTGTTCCTAGAAAACATGACTTCAACTGTGCTTACACCAGTGACATTCTTTGGATCAATTGAAAGATTATATACTGTTGGGGTTTTTTTCTGGGTCTGCCCAAAGATGGGCCATCTTGATGAAGTATTTAAAATCTGACTTATAACCACTCTCAGACACATGGCAGTAATCCTCTGAATGCTGACCACTCTCAGACACGTGGCAGTAATCCTCTGAATGCTGTAAAAGCCATTAGTTTAGACAAATTAGGCAATGCACTGGAAGAGTTAAGTGAAATAATATCCAAAGAGCAAATAATGGTCTTTGGCAGAAAATAAAGTTAATTTTAAATTTGAGCTGCCCACAGTTAATATAAGAAAAAGCTTACAAAAAATCCAAAAGGATTAAAAATATCTCATAAAGTTTTAGAAAAAAATGGTTCCCAAAAGAAACCACATGTGAAATAAGCACAAATCAAGAGAATGAAAAGATAAGCTACAGAATGGGAGAAAATATTAGCCAAAAGACATATTTGATAAAGGACTGTTATCCAAAATATGCAAAGAACTCTCTTAAAACTCGACAATAAGAAAGCAAACAACCTGGGGCCGGCCCGGTGGTGCAAGTGGTTAAGTGTGCATGCTCTGCTGCGGCGGCCCGGGGTTCGCCGGTTCGGATCCCAGGCACATACCAATGCACTGCTTGTAGACCTATGCTGTGGCAGCGTCCCATATAAAAAGTAGAGGAAGATGGGCACGGATGTTAGCTCAGGGCCAATCTTCCTCAGCAAAAAGAGGAGGATTGGCATCAGATGTTAGCTCAGTGCTGATCTTCGTCACAAAAAAAAAAAAAAAAAGAAAACAAACAACCTGATTTAAAAATGGGCCAAAGACCAGATTAGAGACTTCACCAAAGAAGATATACAGATAGCAATAAGCACATGAAAAGATGCTCCACATTCTATGTCATCAGGGAAATGCAAATTAAAATGAGATAACATGACATACCTATTAGAATAGCCAAAATCCAAATAATGACAGCACCAAATGCTGGTGAGGATGTGGAGCAACAGGAACTCTCGGTCATGGCCGGTGGGAATGTAAAATGGTCCAGCCACTTTAGAAGACAGTTTGGCAGTTTCTTAGAAAACTAAACATACTCTTACCATATGATCTAGCAATTGTGCT